TGAGCGCGGGACTTCGGTCTCCGAGGTCCCGGGTTCCAATCCCACCAAATTACCAATGGATTTTATCTAAGTGATAGTGTCACAACCTCTAAGTCTAGCCTGAAATAAATTTAAAAACAATCCCGGGCTCGTGCCTAGCGTCCTAAGGCAACAACAATTGTTACAGAAAATACGTGAAGTTCTTTAACTATTGATAGTGTTTCACGTTTTGTATTTACCGGTTTTGAAGCCACTTTAAAGACTTATTTTGTGGGGTTTAAGTTCCAACCCTATCAAAAATCACTCATATTATGTTGTTTTACATGTCATTCATTCATCATTGATATTAATTTCCCTATTGTTTTGTATGTTTTCTCCTATAATGTTTATTAATACACCAATAATGTGTTATCAGTTATTTAAAAGGTTATGTTTCTCCTTGTTAATGTGTGTTATTTCATATAACTTGTTCAATGTTATATAATATTCCATCACCCCAGAGACGTAACATCTTCTCTTTTATATTACAATATAATAGTTATGCAAATCCCTACTTAGAATGATATATTATTGTAAGAAAACATTGCAATATAATAAACTTAAATAAACAATTACTTTTCAAAGAAAATCAAAATTATCGTGACAAGTGTTATGTGAATTCACCAGCTGTACTCTTCAACAATGGATATGTGACTTCCAGACCTTCAACGATTTCCTCCCCAGATCCTGCCACATCTTCGTAGTGTTAACTTCATTTTACAGGGCATTGTGCCTAAATTAAATTAATTCTAAAGTTTAGCCTAAGAATTACATCGCTTAGAACCAAAAGTAATAGGGAAGAAGTATCCAGAAGAGTACCCAAATTTAAACTAATCCCATTATGATGACTTATGATATGAAAGATTCGACTCAAAGATTTTGGAAATACTCATGATGTACATTACAGATCGATATAATCACAATTTATTGTAAATATCTTATAATTTTTCAGAATTTGATCTTGTTTTTTAGTGTTTTCTACAAATAGCCTTACTCATAGCCGCATTAGGTTGTCCGTAATAACGACTATGAATAAAAAAAAAACATTATTTCTATTTCTTCTCCTTTGTTAGTGTTATATGACTTTCCTATGTTTCCATGATTTGCAAATCGGCTCTTTCAATGATTACTAAGAAATGTAGCACAGTGTTAATTCAGTTTTCTTTTTAGTATATCAAATTATCCAGGCTCTCTCGCTTTTTTAGCGAATTTCCCATATAGGGAATAAGTTATTACCGTAGATCTCATGGTAAGACCTGGACCCGGGACCGATTTAGTTTTTCTTTTGGAGGTCCCCAGAGGCCAAAAACACAATCCGTTCAAATTTAGATATATAAATGAAATATATATATATATATGTGTGTGTGTGTGTGTCCGATAACTCGAGCAAAAATGATCCGATTTTGATGAAATTTGGTATAAACGTGTAAACCTACATTTATTCGAACGAATTCGCGAACCAGCATGATCGGACAATGGGAACAGGGGTTTATGGGGGGTTTTATGGGGTAAAAATGGGTTTTTCTAATTTTTCACCCTGAAAACATAAGATTTTGCAATTTCTTTCTAAATCATTTTGTAGAGCTCAAAAAAACAAATAATTTAGTATATTGAAGCATTTTTGCGCGCCTAACGGTTACGGAAAAATCGCAAAATAGTGTAAATTTAAAATTACCATGTTATTCTTATGGAGAATAAATACAGTGTTGTAGCTTGCTTGTCTATGGATATATTTTAATGAAATTTAGAAATTTTGTTTACTTCATACTAAGCTATTAATATTTCAATAAAACCCCCTTATTTTCTTCCCTGTAGCAGCAAACCTAAGTACTCATTAATATTAATAATATTTAAATAGGAAATAAATCTGACAATTTTAAGGGAATAATTTAGTGGAATTCCAGCTGTGTAGATGGAAATTCGCTTAGTCTGCAGGTTTGCTGCGGCGGGGGTATTTCGTTGTTATATTTACGCCAACCCAAATTCAAATAGTAAATATTTCATTTCAACCAAGTCAGTAAATGTTTGTAGTAAACTGTAAAAAACTTAGCAAACTTATTTACTGTTTACAATTAACATGTTCTTCTTCTCACTTATAATTTCTGACAACAGCTGGAGTTTCATAACAATTTTTGTTTCCCATGTTAATCTTATGGAGAAATACGAAAATTTAAAGGGCCCCAGGGCCTCACTCTCTAATTATTTCCCTTAAAAGGAAGTTTCCTGCACAACTTCACGTTACGCTCTTTCCATTGACACCAAAAACATATCAATCGGTTCAGTAGTTTTAGTTTCGGAGGAGTAATTCTCACAAAAACCCTGCTTGCGTATTAAATAAGTTTAGATAGATTCTAAATAATTATGTGCTATTGAAGAAACCAATCCATGTAACTTAGAACAAATAATTTATATCAATCAAAATAGTATCACATGGTCCCTTTGTTGAATTCCTCGTCTTAGGACAAACACGAAGTAATATTTGGAATGTAAAATTTTCGTTTTCAAGTAGTTGAATTAATATTACTTGGAGTATAAAAAAAAATATTGCCAAGACAAATGAGAGTTAGCGCGACAGAAACAATACTGTTGATATCAAACAAGAATCTAGTTGGGGTTAAGTAGGCCTAAATATCATGTAAAATCCATCAGTCACGTTTACTGTATTAAGCTACTTCCGTCCTTCATACACGGCAGTTGTTAGACTTGATACTCTACATTTTCATTCGATCATTTCAGTGGATGAAATTTATTCAATTTAATCATAACAGATATTTATCATGACAATTTAAAATCATTTATTGGTAGAGGAATGGTTTGTTGTGACAGTGCCTGCGGTGTGTCGAATGTGACATGATCGCTGTACGTCTATTGCAGCACGCTCTCTGCAGGCGCGGCCCATGAACTACTGTTAGTGCCGTAGCAGCCACACACAACTCTTTTACTAAATATTTCCCCTACACTGCATCCAATGTGTCTTCTATGTGCTCCCTACCTCTAGCTATAAATAGATTTATCCCGTTCTAAGTCTATAACAATCACATCACATTAAATATTTGTATATAAAAAACAAAAACGCATATCATGAAAATGTTTGTTTTTAGTGATTAGAAAAAAGTGTGTTGAAATCGAACTTTTCAAAACTCTGATATTTTAAATAGAGTTTGAATATTAAAAGAGTTTTCACGTTCTTACAAATACAAGGAAATCCAAAAGTACAGTACAGCAAATATTGGTTTTATTAATTATGTTTTAACTTTAATAATAAAATAAACGGTATCAGCATTCTGACACATACTTTCTCCCATAAGTTTGTCAACAACCTTTATCATATTGTGTAAGCGGTGAGAGTAAATATACGGAAAAGGGATCAGTAAAATTTTGATCATAATTTAAAGGATTATAACATACAAAATTTTTATCAAAATCGTTCGGGCCATTTTTGTGAAAATCCTATTTTCCCGTTATTTTATGGGGTTTTTATGGGAAAATAACATAATCTACAATAACTTTTGACCGGTAATTTTTACAGAAATGGGATTTGTACCACTTTGTTCAGAATATAAAGGACAATGACATACTACATTTTTATCAAAATTGTTTGTGCTGTTTTGGGGAAAATCCTATTTTTCCGTTATTTTATGGGGTTTTATGGGAAAATCCCCATTAAAAATCAAAATTTCTAAAAAATTGAAAAAAAAAACTATGAATGTTGTAAGGACCATCACATACTATGTTAAATCAAAACCGGATTTTTGTCTAAAATCCTATTTTTTGTTATTTTAGGGGGTTTTTATGGAAAATAACATAATTTAACATAACTTTTGAACCGTAATTTTTACAGAAATGGGATTTTTACCATTTTGTTCAGAATTTAAAGGGCTACAAAATACTAAATTTTCATCAAAATCGTTCGGGCCATTTTTGGGAAAATCCGATTTTTCCGGTTTTTTATGGGTTTTTATGGGAAAATCCCCATTAAAAATCAAAATTTCAAAAAAATGAAAAAAACGCCTGGAGATACCATGGATTAGAACCTACATACCAAATTTCATCGAAATCGGACCACAGGTGTAGTCTCTAGCTCTGTACACATCCAGACACACAGACACACAGACACACATACACACAGACACACACACACACACACACAGACATCACTTCGAAAACCACTTTTTTGGGTCCAGGGGGACCCAAAACGAATATATCCACTCAAAACTCAAACTTGAAAATTTTGACGAAAACAATACTTTCTCCATATACTATGGTATAGGGGGAGAAAGTAAAAAATTTAATATTGTGTGTTTCTGGGAACATGCACTTTTTAGTGTCGTGATGACTCACACCATATTATGCTAATCAACTGCTAGAAGTAGGTTTCATCTCCACTGTGTACCTAACTATTTCTCAATTCCTTCCGTGCTAATAGTAGCATTTATAAACAGTGGAGAACCACTGGTCAAACCACTGTATATTTTCAGAACATGCTATTTTAATAAACAACTACTTATTGGGTACTTGTATGTCCCTCAAGTATGTTCCAATAATTATGTTTAGATAAGGTTATTGCACTCAGGGGAAATACAAAATATTATTTGGTAATCTGTAATTTAAAATTACAGTGCTTGAATCGTAACCGCTGATTATTCGATCGGAGATTTTTACTCGCGATGAATCTCTTGTTGATTGAAGGTTTATTCTATATTTCCTTATTCTAATTGTAATTTGAAGCATCACTCTAAGTTCCAACTCAATTTACCGAAAGGCACTTTTTTACATTACATCTTTGTGAATCGGTCACCAGAGTCGATGAGTGGTGTGGGTAATGGCATTATACCCGCAATATTCTCACACGTTTGAACCATGTCTAATCGCTGTAATCACGAGAGGGTGTCGGCGCGCATCCTGGTGGCGGCGGCGGCAACTAGCGCCAGAGACGCGCGGTCTGCCTGTCGCTGCATGCACGAGTCGGTTCGGTCCTCGTCTCGTCAGTCGACTGGCGAGTAGCGAGCGGTGAGGATCTCACATCGCTGTATAGGCATACGTACACCTCGCACGATATGTAACGTGACCGCGAGTGACGGTGACTTTGACACGATGAAGTTTCCAGTGTTGTTGTTGTTGGGACCGTGCGTGGTGCTGGGGCTGGGAGGTGGCAACGACATCGGCAGCTCCAGTCGCATCGGCGGGCATCCCATCATCCTGCACGGGCACGGGACCGCAGGGGAGTTGACCAAGTGTCCGTGGGCCTGCTCCTGTGTAGGACTCACTGTTGACTGTTCACATCGAGGACTCACCCAGGTGCCCAGGAATCTGCCCAAGGATGCCGAGAGAGTGTGAGTAAAATAAACAACAAACCTGTACAGCGTGTTATGTTGTTATTTGTAATGCTATCACAAGAAGATTATGCCTAGTCTTGAGACGTAGTATGAGTAAATAAATGACGCACTCATGAAGTTGATGAAAATATAGGGTATATGGTACATGATTAGTCAGTATTTATTTTAATACTTAGTGTGAAGAACTTGGAAACGAACGCTAGGTGTTCATAATTTATCTAATGCAGTAGGCCTATTTAAAAAATATAAATTTTTAGAACGATTTTAAATCAAATTATAGCGTTGTAGTTTAAAATTTAGTTAGGTTGTTTGCAACTTCCGATGAGGAAAATAACACTTAACGCGATACGAGCCAACAGCCAAACGCGACATTTAGGCAAAACAGCCCTAAACACCGAGTACTGTACAAGGTTTTAAGTGGAACTGGAAAGGATAGCTGCTCCTCGAAATGCGTCACTTAACCCTTTCAAAGAGGTTTTAGTTAGTTCATTCAAAGAAACTTCCCGATTAAGAGACAAAAGGAGGAACACCGAAGTGCCGTCTAGGGAGGGCAAGCTTTCTCCTAACGCATGTTGATTAGGCTAAAATTAGACCATCTCAAGTTGAATTAAACTTATTGAAACTTGCTTTAAATTTGTAATAGGCTTGTTGCTGTTGGTTATTTAATTGAAACGTTACGGTACCTCTAAAAAGAAACATAATGATATTTTTGTTCTAAAAAACTGTATTCTTTTAAACGTAGGTTAGCATTGTACAAAAAGGTTGTGGAAAAATCACTGAAGAATGTATAAACTAAAATACTGACGGCCTATTTATTACACACAAGATGCAAATAACAAACAGAAAATAACACAATAATCTAAGGCCACAACTCTAATTGTATGGATAGCTGATTGGTTATAGTTCACCCCTTTAAATCTACATGTCGCTGGTTCGAATTTGAGCGAGATCGAGTCTGGACCCAGATGCCATTTGCCATTGAGCTTTCAATTTATGCTAGACCTATCTAAAAAAAGTCGACGTTACATGGTATGTAACAACTTTGATGGGAACTGTTCCCTTACAACATTAAATTACTGTTGAGGGTTGCTAAAAAACTATCGTAGCGTCCAAACGCTATGATAATATCTCTCTATTCATCTCAGTAAATCTAACTTAATGAAATATAATATAAATGTAATATGTGATTTAATTGACATTTTATCAACGTCGAATCAGAACGTTTGTAATGTAAAGAAATCGTCGATACAGTTTCAATTAGTAGGCTATATAACTACATTATAAGAAGACGCACATTTAAAGAGCACTCCTAAGTGTAACGGTATCTTGGACCAATGTTGGAGATGGATGTAGATTCCGGGTCTCGGGAGATGTCCGTTGCTCGGGACACGGCTAGCGCCGACATCAGCCACGACGGGGCTAATTTGATATTCCGGTGGAGTGGAGAAAGAGGGACTCATTAATAAATCAACGAGGTTTTATTAGATTTCAGAGAGGACAATTGACACGTCAAGTGGTTGTGATGAGTCCTGCCGGTCTGTCCTAGGCACGGTGTCTGTCTCTACAATCGATGACTACTGTAAGTGTATCACGGTGATGCGAGTCTACCGGTAAACCGCAGTCGATCTCACGATATTCGCAATATTCTGGGATCTCAGTGTTTTATTGCCCATATCAATTCATCTGTCACAATTCCGACTCGTTCCTGTAGTAGAGGATGGTCCAGGTTGTGGCATCTGTTGAACCATCTTCGGACAATTAAATAATATATTTTGTGATATCTTCCGTGGATTGACACATAAAGAATACAAAACATGACAAGAAAACATTTAGGTACACTTTTTGCTTATCCCACCTGCGCCGCGTCGTATACCGTATCTATCACGTAAGGTAGTACACACCTCCCTAACCACACTGATTGTACTACCATTGACAATTGGGTATGAATGGCAGCATACATTCATGGTCAACGTGTTTCACACGTCCCTGAATATTTTTTATTAAAACTAACGCAAATAATTCATTATATTTCTAAAATTGCATTCGTGACAACGCTTTAGTAATTTTACTCTAGATGCTTTGTGCCAAGTAGCCTAATGTGTTTAATTTTTCCGATTTTCAAGCTTAGTAGTACTGTAGTGGTATTCTTAATCTATGATCGTAGTGACCGTCCACGTGTTATGATGTAAACAAACCATTGACCTTCAGCCCGGTATCTTTATTAATGGATGTAGTTATCTAGATTATCAATTTGGCGCGATATGTATAGGCTAGTTAAGTGCTCTGACGTTTACATCATTATTTAATCGATGGCTGAGCATAACGGCCACTGTTTAGTAACAAGTGGCGATTAAAATAATTTTCATATTTTAGGTTACTTGGTATATTTTGTATCAAGTATTCCATTTCAGATTTGATAAAGGGTATTGTGATTTTCCTTTTTCTTTACAATGTCCTTCGTCATGATAATGATCATTTGCTGGTCCCCACAGTCTTGTCCCGCGAGCACAGTAAAGCTGTTACTTTGAGACCCTCTGGAGAACAACGTATCACGAATTATGGCGCGAAATGTCTCTTAAATATCATCAGCTGGGGAGGCCTACCGTGTATCAAGTTAAGATGAAACTAAGTGGGCGTTATAGCCCTTATATTTTAATATTTACCATGATTTGTGAATAGTAACATAAGGTTTGATCGTGTTATTTTCCAAAACATGTGTGTTTGCTATCATACTGTAAACTTTAACACGACGTCGACGACGACTGTAGACTATTTATAATACGTTAAAAAGGATAGCTGTTTCGACACGTCGATTATCAGAAAGCTTCTAGATTAACCCTGATGATCCCAATTCGTCTTATTATATTTTTATTTATATTCAGTTGGACTTATTGCAAGACATATTTTACTGTATAACCTCAGGAGCACAGCCACGTCTAGTCCTAATGGATTCATATGTTTTGTGCCAGCGAAACTAATTTTTTTGAAATATTTGATATCCAGGCTATATCATTTTCTTTGCATGGTCATAACATATCCATAAAACGTAGGAATTTCTTTCTTCAATTATTGCTCATATTTAAGAAGTTTTCTAATATACGGCATCTAATAGGACTGCACATCGCAATAAAAGTTGAATTGAGAAATACCTCTACTCAGAGTAATAATAAAGGTTCGACCTCTTTCTCTTAAGACAAGTGTTCTGCTCGGGGCTAATCAAGGGCCATCCCCTCTTTGAAGATTTTACAACTTTAGTCTGCCAAGGGTTTCAGCGCTTGAAGGCACTTTCGTCATTGGCGCCGAACACTACTGTGCTGTTATTATCGTTGGCGCCTTTAAACTTTATACAATACTGAAAAGTATAAATTTCTCATATCATACTATATCTACATTTTAAAACTATTAAACATAATTTAAAATTCATTATTCCTAATTTTTAGATCAAATAAACACAATAGGCTACATTTAGTTTTACAACAGGTTAACAACTATAGGCTACCCATCTCGTAGATGCTTACACGGGAGTGTCATATTCGTAGTACACAAATCGTCTATGGTATAGATTTCATTAAATACTTATCTGAATCGTCAAAGTTTGTCATTATTTATTTAAATAATGTCTTCATAAGTTTTATAGGCATACCCTGTATGAGTTCACATGAAATTATGTATACTTGAGCTGAAGTTTTTTAGAAAAATATTGTTTGTCATAGATTTTTGTTGTTCTCAACTGGCAGTGCGTTACTAAATAATTACTTACTGTGAAAGACATAATTTAGAACCCTCTCCTACGTTGTATTATTTTCCACAATTATAACAGTAGTTTCCTCATAATGCGGGTTGGTCCTAGGCAGAACACTTTATAGCAGTACATCTAGATTTATTTTTTAGACTATTATTGGTTATACATATTTGCTTATACGTTCATTTGAAAACTTTCCATATCTGTTGTGTGCAAAGGTAAGGCTTTTAACACTTGTTTGTTCTCATTCCCCCCTAATTTGGACATGCCAAATCCAATAAAATTATTTTCAATTTTGAAAAATGCCCCAAAAGGGCCCAATTTGGGGGGTAGGGGTGCTTTTTGAGAAATTTTCAAATGTAAACATGGGTTGTGTGATACATCAATTTAAAGGTCTAATCACCCCAATCATTTTGGTGCAAAAAAGTGTAATTATCTTTAACCGTATTTACAGGGTGGGTCAAAACGTTTTATAAAAAGACTTTGAAGTTAAGTACCGTATCACCCTAACTACTGAACGGAACCGCGCCAAATTTCTTTCCAAGCTTATTCTTGAGCTACTCTTTAAGATAACTTGTAGTAAGTTCATTTTCCATGTTATTTTCTAATTTAAAAAAATCTCAAATTTTAAGAATAAAAGAAAGCTGAAAACTCAAAATTCTTAAATAGCAAGGTATAAAAAATTTCATACCACGTAAAAAGTCCTTTTTTAACAAACATTTTACGTATTTAAGTTTTCTTTCTATCTCTTACCGTTTAAAAATTGTAGTAGACAAACATAATTTTCTATGGTAAAATTGTAACTAGTTTTCTAATAAAACAGCCAAAATTCGTCTCTAGACACATTAAATGGTGCAATAACTTAACACTATTCGTGCTATCGACATGTTTGAACATAATAGTTGCATTTATTTCAATGTTAAGCAATTGCGGGAATTCCCGTCATCAGCACCCAACGTGTTAAGGAAACAATTCATAATTATTTTTAGGCAGATAGGCAAACAAGTCATTACGTTTTACTTTGTGAAAAACAAGTTTTATAGCTGATGAGAAAAACCCAAGCGTGAGTCGCTTTCTGTAGTACCATTGACTAGTCAATGGTAGTACTAATTTCAAAAGTAACATTTCCTTTAGTACCTAATCAAATATGGTGTAAACTTAAAAAAATATACTTTATTTTTACTTATTGGTCATAACAAAAGTGTTCCAGGATAACTGCAAAGTGTTTAACAATAGATATCCAGGTATACCCTTG